TTTCTATTATTTCTATTCTATTTTCTATTCTTTCTATTCTCTATTCTGTTCTATTTTCTATTCTTTCTATTCTCTATTCTATTTTCTATTCTTTCTATTCTCTATTCTCTATTCTATTTTATTTTTTATTCTTTCTATTCTATTGTTTCTATTCTATTCTATTTTTTATTCTATTCTGTTTTCTGTTCTTTCTTTTCTATTTTCTGTTCTTTCTATTCTCTATTCTATTTTATTTTCTATTCTTTCTGTTCTATTTTCTATTTTTTCTATTCTATTCTCTATTCTATTCTATTCTATTCTATTCTTTCTATTCTATTCTTAGACTGTATTACTATTCTTCTCACTATTCCTATTACCTGTCTCCTTTTCTACTTACGGCTATAACCTTGTTTATATTGTTTATATTTGATTTAATATAACATAATATATAAATATATTAAATATAATATATAATGTAATAGAAAGCAATCCAGGTTATATGACTATATAGCCTTGATTATATTGTTTTATTTAGTTTCCTAGTCTGATTTTGGTTGCTGATTTAATATCTTATGACTACCGCGAAGTGTTGCATCTGACGATTCTTGATGAATGTGTATCTTTTATGGACACTGAAAGCATTCGCACCCAGGCCAATTCCTTCTCTGTCCAGTTACGCTCAGCCAATAAAGAATCTTTTTTTTTTTTCCCCCTCCCACCGACTCCGCCAGGAAACCAAATCCTTTGCGGTGGGGATTTTCAAAGGCCAAATCATCACCGAGCAAGTCTTCCCTTACCCTTCAGGTAAGAGGGGAGGGTGGCCAGGTGTGTTTGTGGGTCGGGGGTGGGGCATGCATTTTGTGTGTGCAGGATTTGGCCGGTCCAGCACATGGGCGTATGTGTGAAACGACCCCTTCTTTGCTTGCTGGCAGCTGAGGCCTGTTTGCAGAAGATTTGGGGGGGGCTCAGAGAGGCTCGGGTGTCCCCCCACCTTCGCCTGGTGGGGCAGGGGAGTGCTGGCACGACGGCAGTCCTCGACATACAGCCAAAATTGCCAGCAGCGTTCCTATCGCTGAGTAAGGGGAAGCGAATCGCGCTCGATTTTACAACTTTTCAGCGCGTGACCCTGGAGGAATGTAGCAACGGTCGTAACTATGAGGACAGGGCACATAAGTCGCTTTTTCCAGTTCCTTGTAACTTTGAATCATCACTAAGTGAATCGTTGCAAGTCAAGAACGGCCAATACTTTGATTTTTTTGAAATGGGGTTCTTCGTTGCGTCGTCTTTGGGTTTTTCCAAACGCTGCAACGGTCATATGTCGAGGACTGGTCATAAATTTCTTTCTTTTTTTTAAGTTGGAATGGTCACTAAACGAATAGATGTAAGTCAAGGACTGGGCCTAAGTCCCTTTTTTAAAAAGTTTGGCCACTAAATGAGTGGATGTAAATTGGGACTGGCCGTATGTCCCTTCTGTGTCATCATAACGTCGAACGGCTGTGAAACCAACGGTCATAAGCCAAGGACTGGCCGTAAGCTACTTTTTAAAACTTTGGTTGCTGAAGGAACGGTTGTAAGTGCAGGCATAAGTCCGAGGACTGACCCACTTGGAATAACGCCCCATTTCTGCCTTTGCCTCAGTCCTCAACGAGGAGCAGACGCAAACGTTACAGGAGCTGGTCGGCCCCGTCGCCCGTTTCTTCGAGGTGAGGGGCTGAAGAGGGGAGGAGGGGAGCGTTGGGGGGGCAGGGGGAGGTCAGCCCCTTCCCCTCCAACAACACCTGTCCATCCGTCCGTCTCCCCTTTTCCGCAGGAGGTGAACAACCCGTCGCGGAATGACGAGCTGGCCCAGGTGCAGGAGAAGACAATGCAGGGCCTGAAGGAGATGGGGGCCTTCGGTCTTCAGATCCCCACCGCATTTGGGGGTCTGGGGCTCACCAACACCCAGGTCAGTCCTGACCACCCTTAGAGGGAGGGGGGCGCCCCCTTTCCTCCCGGGGGAGGGAGGTGCTTGGAGGCTGAACGATCCTTGCACACGGTGTCTCTCTCACTCTCTCTCTCTCTTTCTCTGAATCTCTCTGTCTCTCTGTCTCTCTCTGTTCCTCTCTTTCTGTCTCTCTCTCTTTGCCTCTCTTTCTCTGTCTCTCCCTCTCTGTCTCTGTCTCTCTCTGTCTCTCTCTCTCTCTATCTCTCTGTCTCTGCCTCTCTGTCTCTATCTCTCTCTGTCTCTCTCTCTCTGTCTGTCTGTCTCTCTGTCTTTCTCTGTTCCTCTCTCTCTTTCTGTCTCTCTCTATCTCTCTGTCTCTGCCTCTCTGCCTCTCTCTGTCTCTCTCTCTCTGTCTCTGTCTCTCTCTGTGTCTCTCTCTGTTCCTCTCTCTCTGTCTCTCTCTCTCTCTGCCTCTCTTTCTCTGTCTCTCCCTCTCTGTCTCTCTCTCTGTCTCTCTCTCTGTCTCTCTGTTCCTCTCTCTCTTTCTGTCTCTCTCTCTCTCTGTCTATCTCTCTGTCTCTCTCTCTCTATCTCTCTGTCTCTCTCTCTGTCTCTGTCTCTGCCTCTTTCTCTCTGTCTGTCTCTGTCTCTCTCCATTCCTCTCTCTCTCTCTGTCTCTCTATCTCTATCTCTCTGCCTCTGCCTCTCTGTCTCTCTCTCTCTCTGTCTCTCTCTCTCTGTCTGTCTCTGTCTCTCTCTATCTCTATCTCTGTCTCTCTCTGTTCCTCTCTCTCTTTCTGTCTCTCTCTCTCCGCCTCTCTTTCTCTGTCTCTCTCTCTCTCTCTCTCTCTGTCTCTCTCTCTATCTCTTTCTCTCTCTCTCTCTCTCTGTTCCTCTCTTTCTGTCTCTCTCTCTCTGTCTCTCTCTCTCTGTCTCTCTCTCTCTGTGTCTCTCTCTCTCTGTGTATGTGTGTGTGACTTTGTCTGTCTCTCTGTCTGTCTCTCTGTCTCTATATATCACTCTCTCTCTCTTTTTGCCTCTGCCTCTGTCTTTCTCTCTGTCTCTGTCTCTCTGAGTCTCTCTCTCTCTGTGTCTTTCTCTCTATCTGTGTCTCTGTCTCTCTGTCTCTCTCTCTCTCTCTGTGTCTCTCTCTCTCTCTGTCTTTGTCTCTGTCTGTGTCTCTGTCTGTGTGTGTGTGTGTGTGTGTGTCTTTCTCTGTGTGTGTGTGTCTTTCTCTCTGTCCCCCCCTCTCTGTGTCCCCCCCCTCTCTGTCTGTGTCTCTCTCTGTGTATGTCTTTCTCCCTCTCTCTGTCTCTCTCTCCCCGGCCCCCCAGTATGCCCGCCTGGTGGAAATCGTGGGGATGCACGACCTGGGGGTGGGCATCACCCTGGGTGCCCACCAGTCCATCGGCTTCAAGGGTATCCTCCTCTACGGCTCCCGGGAGCAGAAGAAGAAGTACCTGCCCAAGCTGGCATCAGGTATGGCAGGGCACGGGGGGTGGGGGGGAAGGGTGGCCCGGCCGGGGGGGGGGGAGGGGGCGAGGGGCAACCCCAACCCAGAATCGGAATCCCGGGCCCCTTCCCCAAATGGAACCATTGTCCCTGGCTGCGTTGCGAGGTGGACGTTCATCAGGTTGCCACCCCAGGTGGTCCCTTTTCTCACGAGTAGCCAAGACGGGGTAGATAGAAAGTCTTTGTCTAGGCTTTTCGTTTCTTTTATTTATGTTTAATTTTTAATTTTAATTTTAATTTTAATTTAGGTTTTATTTGTTTTATTGATGCTTTATTGCATTTATGTTTTACGTGTTTTATTTACGTTATTTTTATACGTTTATTTTATTTAGGTTTTGTTTATTTTATTAATGCTTTATATATTTTATTTGTTTTGTTTTATTTATGATTATTTTATTCGTGTTTTTACTTTATGGATGCCTTATTTTACTGATGCTTTATTTATTTTATGTTCATGTTTGTATTTTTTACTTATATTCCATTTTTGCTTATTTAATTTGTATTTTATTTTTTACTTATGTTATGCTTTATTTTTTATTTATTTTATTTGTTTGTATTATATCTTATGTTTTTATTGATTGATTATTTATTTATTGTTTGTGTTTGCATTTATTATTTATGTTTTATTTATGTTTATTTTACTTAAGGTTTTATTTTTTATTTTGTTTTTTGTTTTTATTATTTTTATTTATTACATTTTTGTATTTATTACGTTTATCGATTGTTTTTTATTGTTTATTTTTATTAGGTATGTTTTATTTATTTATGTTTATTTCCATGTGTATTTTTATGTTTGTGTTTTATTTGTTATTTATTATGTTATTGATTGGTTGTTTTTATTTATTATTTGTTTCTTTGTTTTTATAATTCAATTTATGTCCCAGCTTTGGTTATTCAGTTCATCAGGGCAGCATCTCCAATTTTCTCACAACAACCCTGTGAGGTTGAGCTGAGAACAAGAGAGACGAGCAAGCCGGCTTTTCTAAGGCAGAACTAGAACTCAACATCGCCTGGTGACAGGCCCAAAGTCACCCAGCTGGCTTTATGGGTTAGGCGGGACTAGAACTCACCATCTCCTAGTGATCGGCACATC